TGCCGCCAATCCACTCGAGTGCCGGCCCTCGCATCAGTGTCGCCGCGAGTCGTACACGTTGACCGTCCCAGACTGGCGAGCTCCATCCGACGGCTGCGAAGTAGATCTCCATCCCGGCGATCCATCTGCGGGCGTCGGAGTTTCGATCGCTCGGATCGAACGGCTCAGGTGGGCGCGGTTTCGGAGCCTCGAGAAACTGTTGCGACTGCTGCGTCGTCGCCGTTGTCGTCTCGTGCTGCGCTCCGGCGAGTCGAGTTACTCGCTCGAACTGGTTTCGCCACGCTTCGCGATCCGCTCGCATTTCCTCCTGAAGGGCTGCGATGCGCGCGAAGAGCTGCTGGGTAACCTCGGCGTTGTCGAAGGTTGCCATCCTGTTCAAAACACGCACGGAGGGGGTAATTCGAAAATCGCGGAGCTGGTGCTTACCAGAATCGGCGTCGAATTGGTCGCCCCCGGCGGTTTTTCGAGGCAGGATCCCCGCTGCTGCTGCTTAGCTGAGCGCGGTCGAGTGAGAAAAGCTCTGATTACCAAGTGTCACAGGATCGAATGTGTCGAGGAAAGGTTGCACTATCGATCAGTACAAGGCGCTTTTATACTTCCAGAGTACATCAGGTAACCAGGTTTATCTTATCCTAAGGGAATAGACCCTTCTAGAAGATAGAATCACCCTGCGTATAGCCACGCGGGGCTATTGGCTTTAAGGGATTACGGCAGGATTACGCTGGATAATGTGCCAGTACATCCCAAGCCTGGTCGGTGATATAACTATAATAGCAGGATCATCCAAAGGATAATGGAAGAATGGAGAATAGGAAACCAAATGAGATGAGATAAAAAGGAGAATGAAAGAGGAAGGAGATAAGAATAGGACAAGTGGTGTAACGGGGTCGTACTCTCACACCTCCACGTCGACATGCCAGGATCCACTTGAGCCTGTGCCGAGCTCCTCTGTACCTGCGGATACGCCAGCATCGTCTGGCGGCAGGTCCACTGCTAGAACGAATTAGGACATCTATGCTGAGGCACAAGAGCATTTCAAATCTTGCTGGTCTGACAGATTCCCTTGGCTCATGCTCTTGAAAACCGACGATGGGCTCCCGACCTTCAAGTGCAGTGTATGCGCAGTGCATGCAGGACCTGCAAGGCGTACCGGCAAATCGGGCAAGGGAGCTACCGACGTGCAGACCCAGTCGTTCAAGAAGCACGCCAGGACTCAGAAGCATCACCTCGCCATGTCCAAGCAGGACGATCTCCTGCAACTGGCGTCGAAATAGCAGCGGACCGACATGCATCCCCGCACGCCTGACGAAGAGAAGGAGCGAGTCATCGCGCTGCTCGACTCCCTCTACTTCTGCGCCAAGTGTAACAAACCCATGGAAACATGGATTCGTTTGGTGTGCTACCTCTCATCGCACGATTTCAAGGGCTTTCCGAAGTCCGCCTACGGCACGTAGTATAACTGGTGAGAACTCCAGTGACTATGAAATTCTCTTTGTCTCGCCTTTACATATGATACTTACAACGAGTTGGCTTGTGCGTGTCGTGTAACAGCTACGGCTTCGGCGAGCTGACACAAGCAACGGCCGTGGCTGCAGACGACTCAACTCTAACACCTGCTGGCCAGTCCCTACATTGGCATGAGCCTCGACGAAAGCACCGATCGCTGCCGTGGCAAGCACCTGATCGTGTTTGCCGCGTTCATCCGGGAAGGGCGGCTTGTAACCGAGTACCTGGCTCTGCTGACAGTGGATAAAGTGGATGCGGCATCGCTTCTCGCACTCTTGCTGTCCCATCTGCAGGCGATTGGCGTCGACCTCGGCCACATCTCTGGAATAAGCACTGACGGCGCTGCCGTCATGATGGGATCGCGCTCTGGACTTGTGGCCCGCCTTCGTCTTCGCGTTCCGCACCTTGTCTCTTGCCATTGCATTGCCCATCGGTTTGTCATCCGTTTGCTGTGTACATGTCATGTACATTTGCTTCTTGGTTTGTTTATACTGCCAATCCCTAATTTTCTTCCTAGTTTGCATCTCATCTCCCTATCCCATGCAGAGAGGCGCTGGCGGCGAAGGCGGCTGCTGAGGAGATACGTGTCTTCAGCATGGTGGACAACATCATTCGCGAGATCGCTGAGCTGCTCGGTCGCTCCAACCCTTGGCATCAACAGTTCTTGGAGCTCCAGGACGTGTTTATGTCAACGAACCTCGAGCTCCAAGGCATCCACAACATCCGCTGGCTGTCGCGCGGGGATGCGGTCATCCGCCTGGTCGAGGTCCTACCGGCCATCGTGGTCATGCTGCAGGAGTACGACGCCAAGCTGTACTCGCTCGTCACCAGTTACCGCTTCTGGCTCCTCCTGATGTTCCTCGCCGATGTGCTGGAGCTGCTGAACGTCCTCAACAAGGTCTTCCAGCAGCAGGAGGTAAACTTGTTTAATGCTTGTGTTTGCATGCCTGTCGATGTCTTTGCTTGTCTCTGCCGGTCGTCCCTTAACCACACATCCGTCTGTGATGCCCTACCTCTCCTCGCCCCCCTACCCACTAGCTGGACTACACGATGGTGGACGCGCAGATCATCCGTATGACCTCACTGCTGGAGAGCCGCTACGTGGACTGCGGAGACGACTTCACCAGCGGGCCCAACGATTGATTGACGCGGTTCCTCGCCAAGCACGGGCACGGCAAGTCCAAGCTAATGATAGTGGAGGGGATCGACTATGACGGCCGACCTTCACGGTTCACCTTCGAGACGCACAAAGAGCTCCAAGAGGACTACCCGGGGCCCAGCGACCACGATGGGAGTGTCGTGGCGTGCATGGCTCTGGCGGAGGGCCTGGTCCGCAACCTCGACGAGCGCCTAGGCGATCTGCGGCAGTTGCCGGGAGCGCGCCTGTTCAGCGTCGACACATGGCCACACAATTTGGACCGACAGGCACGGAGGACGCAGTTCCTCGAGTGGTTCAACTCGCCCGTGGTCATATACCGCACTGAAGACAGGGACGAGATTCTGCCAGGTAGATCACCATCTATTCCTTCCAATATCCTTGCGGCAATGTATCTGTTCAACAAGACACCTATCTTTTACTATCTGTGTACTGTTTCCTATAACCCAACCCTTCTCCCTCTCCTTGTGTGCCCTTGCCTGAGTAGGTATAGACAAGCGCAAAGCCCAGACCGAGCTCCGCAACTTCGTCCCCGTCCTTGCTGCGCTTCCCAAGGCGGACAAGTCATTCCACGCGGGGCTAAGTGCCATGCTCAAGACGTAGGACTGGAGGGACAGCTACCCCAACCTGGTCAACCTGTGGGTGGCGATGGCTGTCCTTCCGTTGAGCACTGTCGAGTGCGAGCGCGGGTTCTCCCGCCTGAACGCCATCAAGAGTTGGCTGCGGGGGGCTCTCAAGGATACTAGGCTAGGAGATCTGATGTGCATGTCGCAGCTAGAGTATGACCCCGACTGGGAAGAGGTGGTCTCCATGTGGCGGGCTTATAAGAAGAGGAAGCCCTTTAGCAACGCCTTGCCCGAGGCCAGTAGTAGCAAGAAGGGAAAGGAGAAAGTAGATGATGATGATATGCCGTGAGCACCTCAGCAAGATATGCAGGATATCGACTCATTCTGTGCATGTCGTGAATTGTAGTGCATTCTCTAATGAAGAACCATAAAAAGGGCTCATAAAAAAGTTTGGCTATGACTCTGATTGGTCAGAAAAAAAATCCATGGCTACTCTGATTTTTCAGACTCTTTCTAGGAGGTGACTCTGACACCCATACCAAGGGAAGGGAGGGGACTATGACGAATCAGACAGGCCCAAAACCAATTTTGGGGCCTGAATGGGAATTATCTATCTTAATGTACATCCATCTATCTAATGCTATGAAAATCTGCATAACAAAACCAAACATGGCTAGTGTTGGCATCATACGTGTGCTGGTGCCTTTGTCTACCAGGCCATTAAAGCCTGTCACATTATAAACTTCCCAATAATCAGCAACTGACAATTTTCCACAAAATTGTCCAACATGCGGACAATTTCTTCCGTCACTGTATTTTATATATATAGTTGTGTAGGCTTGTTAGGTGTTCTACATTTGTGGATCCTACTGTATAGGGTACAACACCTTTCTTGTATCTCTCTCTTTTGTCTAGTAAACCCTTTTTTTCTCTCCTCACTTCTCTTACCTAGCTAAAACCACTCGCTATTCTTATGCCTACCTTAGCTTCTCAGCTCCTTCGAACACGAACAGTTCACCCGCTCGTCGTCTGTTGCACAATCTAGCTATGAGGCAGAGATCTACCCTGGTGTTATGGCGGGTTAGGAGCTCCGCTGGCTGACGTTCTTGCTCACTGACATATATGAGCGGCCTAGCTCTACCCCGGTCCTGTACGCTGACAACAAGGCCATGATCCTCCTGTGTCACGAGCCTCGACTCGAGGGCAGAGCGAAGCACGTCCAGCTGCGGTATTCCGTTCTGCGTAAGCTGCAGCAGCGCCGCAAGGCTCGCGTAGTACACTTGGCCTCCGGTATCAACACGACTAATATCTTTAGTAAGGCGCTTGCGCCTAAAGATCATCAGCGGCACTGTGTACAGCTTGGTCTAGTTCCAGTCGCTCCTCACTTGCTAGGTTACTCTTGCTTAGCTTGTACTCTTGTTGACCGGTCTTTAGACCCTTGCCTCAGAGGTTGGACTAGTAGTGCCGTCCTGAGCTGCGTGTCTCTCGCTAGGCACTGCCCCTTGTCTAGCCTAGGGGGTGTGTCAACTTATACATATTTGTATATGTAGCAGTTATAGGCTAGAAAAGTTCCTACTCTTAGTGAGCACAACACCCAACCATATATTCCCTTGTATCCCTTCATTCTAATTAATGCGTTATTATGAGATATGAAGCACAGTAGACATAAGATACACCAGACATGAGATACAGCAGGCATTACATCAGCACCAGGGGGATGAGGAACCTCGAATTGAGCCTTCCTCTTGGTTTCAACCTCTCTTATGGATGGCGAGTATGTCTGTCTGTGATTGTGCTCTGATAACAGTGCCTTCACCCTTGCTCCGCGTTGCAGCAAGCATAATATAACCTAGATTCCGTGTTATGTTAGTTTGCAATGCACCTACCTACTTCCATAGCATACCGTATTCGTTCTCCCTTCACCATTACTCAGCCTGTCCCCACATGCCTTCACTCAGCCCTAATCAGTCAAGCCTTTTCCTAGAAGCCCTCCCCCACATGTTCCCTCCCTACATGGCATTCCCTACATGCCCTCCTCCTCCTCTACGTCTTCCAGGTTGTCGGGCACATTCAGTTTTTCTATAAAGGCCTGGCAGGCAAAAGAGTGCAGGAGCAGGGAACACCAGGCAACAGCAAGGAGCAGGCACAAGCATGCACAAATGAGCTACTCAAATAGGCCGAAATTTGTGGCATGGATAGCAAACGAGAGTGTAGAGAAAAACACCATGAAAAAAAGAGGGCGGCGGGGGTGGAGGGTTTAGGAGGGGAGGGGAAGGTGGTAGTGAAGTAGGCAAGGCGGGAGGGAAACAAATAACGTTTCGGTCGAAGGGGAGGGGAAGAGAGGGTTGAGTGATGTGCCATAAACGCCTCAGAACAGGACAGAGAGCCATTGAGGTGGGTGAGGAGATAAGTGTGATTATGGGTATGACAAGGGAAGGTGCTGCAGGTGGAGAATAGGTGAACGTGTAGTACTGCATGCTACCATGATGTATCGCACGTCACCACAGCATAACACATGTTACCATACCATACCGCACCTCACCTTGATGAGGTTGACTTGCTGGGCAGGTGGCTTCAAGTCCAGTGCGCAGTTGAGATGCATGAGGGCCTCCTCTGGGCGGTCCAGCTTCTTGCATATCTGCGGTGGGGAGGCAGGAATTGAGTCTACTTTTGAGCAATGAGGAGGTGACATACAAGTTGAGTCAATGCCTCCCATCAGCCCATTCCCCCAAACTTCCATCCCCGTTCCCCTGCATATCGTCCATCCCACCACCCAAACCCCCGTGTACAGAGAGCCATCTCACCTTGCCCAGCAGGAAGTAGATGGAAGGCTCTCTGGCCGCCATGTGCAGCACCCAAGCACTCATCCCCACCCATAACCTCCCACCCATACCCTCCCTGAACCACTTCCCCAACCCAACCCCATCACCACCCTCTTGCCCACCCTCAACCCGATCCCCCATCACACCAACTTTCCCATCCCCTCCCCCTCATCATCCGCATCCCCCACTGCGCCTCACCTTCCCCAGCAGGAAGTAGACAGAGGGCTCCCTGGCAGCCACGTGCAGCAACTGCTTGGCTGCGTGCAGCGCGTCGCCCAGGCGCTCGTCGCTCAGCAGCATGTGTGCGTGCTGGAACACCGGCAGGGGGTTGCGCGGGTCTAGCCGCATCGCGTGCTGCAGCGAGGCCAGGGCGTCGCTGCTCCGCTGCCAGGGGGCGGGGGCATGAGTAGAGAAACGCATGTGTAAGCGTATGTGTGTGTGAGAGAGAGGGATAGAGATTGAGATAGGGATAGAGATAGAAACCTCGAGAGAAAAAGGTAAATGTAAAGCAAGTCGAGGGGAGAGAGAGTGAGAGAGGGAGAGGGAGCACCTTGAGCGAGTGCAGGCAGACGCCGAGGTAGGTGTGGAGCACGGAGGAGTGGGGGTTGACAGTGAGAGCAGTGCGGAAGTGGTACTCTGCTAGGTGGAACCGCTCCTGCCGCATCAGCACAGACCCCAGTCCGTACCTATGGGTCGGCAACAGGGCAGGGTATGGGAGAGAGGGGGACAGGGAGAGCCGAAAAAAATCGCACTTGACTAAGAAAGCCATTGCTTCTGCTGCATCAGCACAGACACCTGTCCGTACCTGTGGGCAGGCAGGGAGGAGGAGACAGTGGGAGGAATGGGCTGAGAACGAGCAGTAACACATGGACGTTGCATGGCCTATATATAACCCAACCTACGCCCATCTGTTCTTCATCATTTAGGTCCTGTGAGCCAAATCTGCATGCTCCAAAGACCACGCATTACGACGATGTCCGCACTCTCCACAATAGCATGGGTTCGCAATGCCACGCCCCTCTCTCTCTCACCATGCGTTGTAGTGCCGGGCATCTAAGCGAATGGCAGTGCGGAAGCAGAGAGCAGCATCCTCAAGCTCCTCCATTGCTGCATACCTGGTGGCAGGGAGGGATGGAGGAAAGGAGGACGGGGTGGAGACGGGAGGAAAGGAGTGGAGTGGAGAGAGGGAGGGAGGGAGGAACGGGTGGAGACAGGAGGAAAGGAGTGAAGGGGTGGAGGGAGGGAGGGAGGGAGGGAGGGAAGCAGAGAGCAGCGTTCTCCAGCCCCTCCATTGCTGCATATTTGATGGCAGGGAAGGAGGGGAAGGGAGAGAGGGGGGGGGAGGGATGGAAGGAGTGAAAGAGGGAAGGGGTACACAGATATCTGCGCCAGCACCAACCGCCTGCAAGCACCCACCGACTCACGCACCCAGTCACCCTTTCCTCTCCCTCTTCCCCTTTCCTCTTCCCCTCCCCCTCTTCCCCCTCTCCCTTACCCCCCCTCCCCTCCTCCCCACACACTATGCAGCATACCCAATGCACCCGCACACTCACTCGTGGCCGCAGAGGGTGTGTGCGTAGGTGAAGGAGGGGTCCAGCTGAGTGGCTCGTCGAAAGAACTTGAGCGCTGCTTCGTGCTGCTTAGTGAGACTCATCAGGTTGCCACTCACACACCTGGGGTGGGGGGTATGGGGGAGGAGAGCGGAAGGTGGGGGAGGGGAGGAGAGGGGAGAGGTGGGGAGGGGAGAGGCATGATCGAAGATACCTCAGAACTTGTCTGCTTGGTGAGACTCAATAGGCTGCCACTCACACACCGGGCGAGGGGGAGGGGGGGGGGGATAGGAGGAGAGGGGAGCGAAGGGGTGAGGAGGGGAGGGGAGGCATGCAAGGGGGCAAGGCAGCGACTATGGTGAGACGCCAGCAGAAAAGACTTGAACGAGAAGGAGAGAAGAGACCGTATAGTGGAAGGGGGGGCTTTATGAGACCCTGGGGGAAAAAGAGAGCAACTGTGAGAGATCAGCATGAGAGATCTATAAGAGTAACTTATGAGCATGCCGTGGCATGTTCTGTAATGAGGGGGCTCAACACAATGGCTCACGAACGACATAACACGACCTGAGTCAACTCACCGTGCCTGGGGAGCCATGCGGTCCACTGCTAGGGCCTCCTGTGCCAACCAGCTGAGCTGCTTTTGAGGACTCAAAAACAAAGCACTGGGTTGCGACACAACACAACCCGACTGAACCCACCACGACTGGGGAGCCATGCGGTCCACTGCTAGGGCCTCCTGCGCCAGCAGGCTGAGCTGCACGTCCTTTCGCATGTGCTGATGGCGGGAGACAGGGAGGGGGGAGGGCAGGCGATGGGGAGAGGGACAGGGGAGGGTGACGGAGAGAGGGACAGGGGAGGGTGAGGGAGAGAGGGATAGGGGAGGGTGATGGAGAGAGGGAGGACGGAGGCAGGAGAGGAGAAGGAGGCAAGGGAGAAATGCAGGGTGGCGGGTGGGCGGGGAAGAGACCATGTAAAAAGACTGTGCGTGTGAGTGGGTGAGAGGGGGTGAATGGGGGAAGGAGAATCTCACAAAGAGGACGGTAGAGTAGACATCCAGGCCGTCCACGTGGCATGGGCTGGCCTGTCGGGCCAGTTCAAACACTCTCTCCGCCTCTGCATACTGCACCATGTCCACATATGCTCGGCCCACCTGCATTGACATTGGGGGGGAGGTTGGAACCGGGGAAGGGGAAGGATAAGGGGGTATTGTCTGGCCAATCAAACACTCTCTCCGCCACTGCTTACTGCACCATCTCCACGTATGCGTGGGACACCAGCAGGGGCAAAGAGAAGGAGGTGGCGGGGATGGGGGGTTGGGTTGTGGAGTCTCAAATGCTGTTGTGCCTGCCATCTCAAACACCTGCTCCACCTCTGCGTGGTGCACCATGTCCACCACAGAGGTACGCCCCACCTGGAGAGAAAGAAGGTGAGAGAAGAGGTTTGGGAATGGGAAGGGGGAAGGGGAAGGGGGAAGAAAAGAGGGGAGAGGGGGATGGTGGTGCAGTGAGACCTCTAGAGATGTGTTGTCAATCGAATGTGCAATTCCTTCGAGTGAAATTTGTGTGTGATGACGTGACTTAACGTGTAGGTGACTGTGTAACGCACCTGCACCAGCACCCAGTGCGTGTTGTACTGAGCAGAAGGGAGCTCTGCAAAGGCCTCTATCGCCTCCTGTTGCCATGCAAACAAGGTAGACAGGGACCCCAACACAGAGAGACGGGGCAGAACGAGGGGGGAGGGATGGGTGGTGACGTTAGAGGAGCAGAGAGGAGACCAGGTATCCCAAAATTCCAAGATCACTCCTTTAAAACCATTCCACCAGCAGCATGCACTGCAGATTCCGCACCAAACCACAACGTTCAGGAAAACTCAAGCGCTTCTTAGACCATAGTACAGCAGGTCTCAGTGTCTCACCTGGCATCGCATCATGCACAGCAGCAGGAAAGCTCGCCCCACTTGCTTCAGCAGCCGCACTGCCAGCACCGCCCCACTTTCTCCACCTTTCCCTGCTCCATCCCCTGCACTACCAGCCTCCCCTGCCTCCCCATACCCTACTCCCCCACCACTCCTCTCCCCTCCTTGCCCACTTTCAGCCTCATCCACCCCTTCCCCGTCTCTCCCCCCTCCCTCTGCTCCACTGCTGCCTCTTCCTGTCGCTTCTCTCCCCTCCACCTCCTCCCCTCCCCCTGCTCCGCCTCCCCCCACCCCTCCAGCAGCACTATCAGCAGAAGGGGCCCCACCATTAGAGCCACGACTCGCCCCTCCCGCCTTTTCTCTCCCCTGCCGCTGCCGAGCCTCCCTGTCCTCTTCCCGGGCCTCTTGCTTCAGCTCCCAATCCTGTGGCACTGCTCCAGAAGGGTCAGTTGCAGTGTGAGGAGTGGCGGATGGGAGGTTGAGAGGGATCGTGGCGGCAGGTGTGAATGGGGAGGCGAAGGCAGAGGTACCAGCTGCAGAGCCAGCAGCAGCTGCCGTGTTAACACCACTACCAGTACCACCGGCACCTGCTGCTGTAGACACTCTGCCTCCTCCTCCTCCTCCTCCAACCCCGCTGACACCAGCAGCAGCAGAGGAAGCTGGTGCGGAATCAGATCCCAGATCAAGAGACGGCATGGCTGGGATAGAGTGGGTGATAGGCTTGCGGGCTGATAGAATGGGGGAGAGTAGGACGGATGCCACGAGCAGGAGAGAAAAAGGAAGAGTGAGTAGCAGCAAGGGAAGGGAAGAGACGTGCAGAAAGGGGGCAAGCGAGAGGACAACAGAGGAGGAGGAGTGACGGGCGACTGAGGGGGAAAGACGTTCACCTAAAGACGTTCACGCATCCACACCCACCTGGACTAGACCCATCAGTTGATCGACGAATCACCGAGCCCCTACTCGTCCCCCCTCCCCCTCCTCCAACCCCCGAGCTCCCCCGCGCAGCAGAAGTCGACCCAGCAGCAGCAGTACCACCACCAACACCAGCTCCAACCCCGCCTGCTCCCCCCTCCGCTAATCGTGTGCTGCGGCGCAAGGTGCTAGGCTCAGCAAACAGACGACCAGCCACCTGGGAAGATAAAGATGGCGGGAGAGAAGACAGGCATTGGGACATGTGTAGGGCCCCAAATTCAAAAAGCCTCACGTCCAGCAACCACCCCCCCTCCCCCCCCTTTTTTTCCCCAGACTGTCCCTTTCTCCCCACTCACATTGCGCAGCCTGCTTTCGTCCACCATCTTGCGGCGGTGTGCCATGCGTGTAGCAGCACTCACAGCAGGCACCACAGGCCCTGCCGGCGTGCGAGGAGAGGCATTGTCCCTCCACGTGTTCACCACTGCTTCCTGTGCACACACAGACAGGCCAGCAGGAGAGAGGTGCTCCAACCAGAGAAGGGGGAGCGGGGGAGGAGGGAGAGGGAGTGTGAGGGAGGTTTGGGGATTGTGAATGAGATTAGGAGTGCCTCTGCACGTGCTCACCGCTGTCTCGTGTGCACCGAACAGCACAGCACACAGCACACAGCACACAGCACAGCACAGCACAGCACAGGGACAGTGCAACAGAACGGAAGTCAAAAACCTTTCCAGCCATGTGCTTCCCAGCAGCCCTACGTACTGGAGGTGTGATATAGTTTGAGGCCGCATTAGCCCCCAGCTGCTGCTGCTGCTGCTGCTGTTGCTGCTGCTGCTGCTGCTGCTGCTGCTGCAGCTGCTGCAGAGGTGGCGCGGTCCCTTCTTGCACTGGCTCCTGCAACTGCCCTGACTGCTGCTGCTGAGAATACTGTGACTGTTGCTGCTGCTTCAGTTGCTGTTGCTGATGGACCGAAACCTCGTGTTGAAGCTTCTGCTGCTTCTGCAGCTGCTGCTCCTCCAACTGCAGAGCAGCAGTTTCGCTGAATGCTTGTGACGCCTCTGCCTCCGCTCCTAAGGGGATGAGAAGAGAACATAGAGTAGACACGAACGTGATGGGAGCGTGGGACAGCGAAAGAAGTGAGGGTGCAGGAGCAAGGGAAGAGGAAGAAAATTTCACCAACGCAACGGAGCAGGGCAGGATAGAGGATGGAAAGCCAAAGGCCCAGGCGGAGTGGGTAGGTGGGGCAGGTAACGACGACACAGTGCGTGAGGGAGCGAGCGAGAGTGTGTGCGGGAGGGGAGGGTGGAGTACCAAGAATGCAGAGCTCCTCGTATGCTGACCAGAAGAAAGGGTCCAATGCAAGGGCGGATGTGAAATGGCGAATGGCCATCTGACGGCGGTTGGTGGCTCTGTTAGTTCACACAGCACGCAGGGTATTAGAGAGACATGCCAGAGGCCAAAGCGAGGAGTGAACGTCAAGGGTAGAGAGGACGAGGCGGAAAGAAGAATGAGAGACAGAGGGGGAAGTGGGGAGAAGGATGAGTGAGGGTAGGAGGAGCGAGCAGAGGAAGGGGACAGGCTTGAACGAGCAAGGAAAGGAATAAGCGAACGGGCTACTCACTTGCAGATGAGCCCGAGGAGGTACAGGCCTGCAGCACCATTGGGCACCTGCGGCTTAAGGGAGACGGGGCAAGGACAAAAACGGCTAACTCAGTTCACTTCAATGGGCGAAATCAGACGCTGCCTGAAAGTGCCAGCATATGACAAGAGTTATGGCGGGGACCAGCCCAAAAGCGCCAGCCCAGCACACCTAGCGCCTAGCAGTCAACACTCAGCACGTGCCGAAGTGACACACTTAGTGGCAAAGTCACTCACCTCGTGAGATCGTTGTGCTGAGGCCGAGGAGGCCGAGGCGGCAGGGGAGGAGGAGGAGGCAGTGAGGCCGTGCAGCGCGGGGGGTAAGATCATGGACGCGGGGTTGGGCTGCAGCGCTGCTTCTGCTTCGGTGAGCAGCTGCAGGTCGTGGCACGCCAGTGCCAGCAGGTAACGGCTTTGGTCAGACGGCAGGCCTGCAGCGACGGAGGGACGGATAGGTGGGTAACTCGAGAACTAATATCAGCCAAATCGAGACAAAGTACGTCATAAGTTGTATCGAAACGAGGGGCACAGGACGCAACGAGCAGTGGTCGATAAGGTGGCACAATGGATGCAGCGCAGTGCTGCTTGTTCAACCCAATGGTGTGGTAACATCGCAAGAGTACCTTTGAGCACGTGCCGTGCGAGCAGAGGCTTGTTAGCTCTGATGTAGCAGGAAGCCAGCAACTGGAAGTTGGGCTGCGGAACAAGGCGCCATGGAGAATGAGAGCAAGGCGTTACAGTGAAACGGATTAGTGGAAAAAACAGAAAGAAACTAACATATTGAAGTCTAAAAAACGTAATCAGTTGCTTTAAGCATGAATGCATCCACGGCTGTTCAGATGAGTCTGTGACTCTTCGAATGGGCGGTGACCTTAAACGGGGATTCATGATGGGGCTCACCTCGTTCGGGAATGACGCGCAGAGGCGCTCCGCTAAGAAAGTCGCATTCGGCACGCAGTGGAGGGAGAGCGAGCGTGACACGCACGAGGCGAGCCATGCCTCCATGACCGGTCAATAGAGATTGCTTGAATGATACGCGCGACGAAACGAGTCTCGCATGCAAATGACAGCGAGATTCGTACGTTCGATGACAGGAGAGACAATCGTGCGAGGTGGTACAGGTGGAGAGTAGAGCGTGCGAGGCGGCCGGCCTACTTAGAACTAGGACTTAGACCGCACAACGCCTACGATGCGGTCGTGGACGCAAACGGCTCTGAGGCGTCGATTGTTGGAGGAAGATATTCTCCTATCTGAAACCGCGCCGGATAATTCTCCTTATCAAAACTGATTTCTGTCTAAGAACTGACGGCATGGAATTGGACTTCGAAATCTGAAATCGCCTAACACAACAGGCCTGCAAGTGTTTAGTGGGTCATCTAGACTTGGCGATCAGATAAATGGGAATCTGACCAACCCCGAGAAGACTTAGACGATAAAATGATTGGGCGACGACTAGATTTCATGGCGATCAAGGTCTGAGAACAGTCGTGTCGTGAAGAGGAATTCATCGATCACGACTGCTCGAGAGTCACCAGTGCGATCAGGTCAGTTGGGATCCTATCATCCTAGGCTTCTGACTGTTGCAGCCAGACCCGCCTAGCAGAGAAAAGGGCACGCATGACCTGACCTGACCACATGGGGGACTGGTTCGAGGCAGGAGATCGGGTGGCGCGCGAAAAGGACAATTGCTGGTTTTGGATCTCGCGTATACAGTGGCATTGTTTTACGTATTTTGTGCCGTGACGAATGACATTAAGAAGCGTACGAAATGCTGATTGGCTTCTGGCACTAGAAGCCTCTTCTGGATACTGGCGGGAAACTCGAGGTCGGTGGTGCTCCACCAAATTTGAATCCTACCAGCCCCCAAGGTCCCCAATTCACCACCAGCATCAGCACCAGCAGCACCAGCACCAGGAAGGTGTCAGGAGGTTGGTTGGTGGTCAATCAATCCAGTTCAAACTTCCAACACACTTTCGTTGTTGACCTTCGCGAATTTGTTTGTGTTCGCCATTGCTGCTGCTGGACTCGCGTCCCTCCGCTGTGTTTTCCGAATTCCCAAGATGATGATACAGGAGCTAACGCCTGACATGGTGGAACCCGTCGAAGCTCCTACTTCCGTGCCGAACGAGTTTGAGCGTCTGGTTGAGGAGCTAGAGCAGGGACCAAGCTCTTTCGGACTTGACAAAGTTGATGCACTCTCTTCAGCAGCTTTGGCCTTTTCTTCTAGTTCCGATGCTGGGAAGACAACTGAGATGTGGAAGCTCAGCTACCGGATATGGAACGCGTGTGTAGACATATCTAACAGAAAGGAGCTAACCACCGCTGAAAAGGAGAAGAATGCCAAACTCCGCAACATTGCAGCAGACGTCCTTCTGGCTGCTGGAGAAAGCTCTGCCGTGCATTCCAGCCTTTTGAAGATTGCAATGTTCTTTCAAAGAACTGGCTGCTTATGGATTCAACTCAATCGGTTTGAAACGGCGGAAGCTTGCTTGGCGAAAGCCACTGAACTTTGCACCAAAGCCAAAGACGTGATCAAGGACGATGATCCTGCCATTCAGCATGAGCTAACAGTTCTGAGTTTCGACGTTCATGTCGCCAGGGCCAAGGCTTCGTGGGAAGTTAATCAGACTGCGCTGGCCAGTAACATCCTCGGTCGAGCTCTGCTTCTTCTACCACAGCTGCCAGAGAAGGCGGTCGACCTCGCTGACATGTACCTCCAGTTCGGGAAGGCTGTCTTGAACGCTTCTTCCGGTTCTGAGGGCGCAGTGAACGCAACGTCTTACTTTGAAAAGGCTTTTGAGATATGTTCTGACGGCATTGTCAGTTTGCAGTTTGAAGGAAAGATGGCCTGCAAGAAGGCTATGGCGGATCTTCGAGATCGCACTTTAAGATATCTGGCTGGAGCTCACGTCCAATGTGGCCGTTATGAGGACGCACTCAAGTGCACATCGATCCTCAAGTCAGGATTCCCCCTACATCCAAGCGTTCCATTCTTGGAATTGAAGGCGCTTTCTGCACTTGGGAAGCATGATGCTGCTGAAGAGGAGCTGTCTAAGCTCACCGATGGAGACACAGCCAAAGTCGATATCGTGGGTGCAGCGATTGAAATTATTACAGCTTCGGGAAGCTCTAGTTCAGTTCCAGCTGCAAAAACGGCGTTCTTCAACACGCTCAACAAGTTCCCGAGTTGTGGAAAGTTCTCACGTCAGTTCTTGACCATCCTTGTCCAACAAGGCGCTTCTCGTTTAGCCTGTGTGGAGGCAGCCATTGAAGTCGGACAAGACCATAGAGTAGTGGCATCCTTGTTATCAAAGACCAAAAGCCTTGGAGTCCTGGTCCACGACGACAGCAGCGATCAACATAGTGTGCACGCGCTTTTCTGGAACTGGTATTACTCGCATACGTTTCTCCTCCAAAGGGACGTTTCTCCTCCAAAGGGTCTTTTCAGTTTCCTGACTTTCCTATTCTGGCTGCTGCAGCGGTTCTGAGCAATTCTCACGGAAGAATTACACGATGAGTGTTAAGCTGTTTGAGACGAGTCTACTTTACCTTGAGGACGACAGGCAAGAGCAACGAGCTAAAGCACTCCGTGTTATTTGTCTCTGCCACATGGGATTGCTCCAGTATGATCGAGCTTCTGAGTGCATTCAGCTGGCTGAAGAGGTGAGTTAGTGATGTCGTTGTGGAACCTGGCAGTAACATGATCTGACACAACGCCTCTTCTTTTTGCAGATCGATCCATGCATTGCCTCGGTCTTTTTGAAGGTAAGTACCACAATAGGCATGCTTGTTTTTCATGAATCCCTCCTATAACCAACAACTTCTTGCAGTATAAAATATCGCTCCAGCAAAAGAGTGAGGCCAGGGCAGCCCAGGACGTCGAGAAAATGATATCCTGCAAGGATTTTGAACCTGATTACCTGGCATTGGCATCACATGAGGCTTTGGCGAGCGGGCAGAGCAGGGTTGCAGTTCAGGCACTTCGTCAGTTGCAGAAGCTTATATCCGCTGGAACCAAGATTGGAATGGTTGAAGCCGTTGTGGTCAGGAACATCATCACTTTGGTGACTGAGAAGGTCGGGAACATGGTTGAAGCTCTGGAGTTTTTCCAAGTAGCAATCAGCAGGGTTGCAGCCATCGGTACTGAAGGATTCTTTGGTGAACCTCCTTCTGGACTTAAGGAGGCAAATTGGTTTGCTGCGTCAGCGTGGAACCATGGCATTGAAGCTGGAAAGCATAAGATGTGGGGAGCTTGTGCATCCTTCCTGACTTGCGCTGCTGAGTTTTTTCCACTCCTGCCAGAGACACAAGAGTCTCTGCAATCAACAAAGCTTTCTTTGCTTCTGGGTGGGGCAGCATTACTAGCTGACGGTGACACTAGTGAAGCCAGCTTGAACAAGGCGGCAACAACACTTGAGAAGTGCCAAAAGGTGTGTAAAAGGACCTCTTTCTCTCTCTGTCTCTATTCCCTCCTTTCCCCTCCTGCCTCCTCTCGCCCTGGCGACTGATGGCGTTCCCTTGGCAGATTATGAGTAAATGCAAGGCCGAAGGGCAAGACACTTCTGGCACTTTCTTCCAACTGCTCATGTTTGATGTGAAAGGCCGGCAGAAAGACTGTAAAGGGCAACAGGAGATCATCGAGAGATGCAGGGCTATGCCTGGCTTCAAGGCCGAGCACTTTTTCCAGATGGGCTTGCATTCAGCACGTGATTGTGCAGACAGCACAGTGGCAAGTGCAGCATTCAGTGCAGGACTTCACATGATGATGACCAGCAAGTCACCTGACTACAGGGTGGTGGCGGCAATGTACCGGAAGCTCATATCTCTGGCAGATATTCAGACCAAGGATGGGGTGCAAGTCTATGATCTGTATATGGAGGCACACCAACTCCTGATTGGTCTGCCAGCTGAATCATATCCCAGGGATGAGCTGCATTGGCTGATCTCTACAGCATGGAATCGAGCCCCTATACTTGCGCGCTTCCGGCGATTTGAAGAGGCAGAGAAGTGGATGAAGCTTGCCATGAAGCTTGCAGAGCGAGCCCCTTCTATGGAGTCAAGCAGGCTCATGATGTCAGACGCTGTTGCTGAGGTTGAGCTGATGAAAAACCAGGAGTCCAACCCCATGGAAGAGTAAAGACTGATGGATTGATTGCTTTTTGTTTTCCTTCGATTCTTTGCAAAGCTTGAAGAGCTGCAGAAGTGGGTCAGCTGTTAGAGCATTCTTGGTTCATGGACCATGGTGGTGTCAGCAGCAGCTGTTAGGGTTTACCAGATGAGATAAAATAACAACTGGACTGTGATACCGGTAGTCTGGTCTGACTCGGTTCAGCTCATGAAGATGGGCAACCAGAGCCTGTTGCAGGATCATGTTCACAATGTCACACTGATTCCTAAGGTTGTCCACTTTCTGGAACGAAATCAGAATATAATACATCATTCAAAGTATTACACAAAAGCTATGACTACTAACGAAACAAAGAGCAAGAACACATCCAGTACTAATAGCCCTATAGCATCAAAAACATACTTCGGCGCAAACAGAGACCAGACCTGCAACGGGCCACAGAAATAGAAATTAGCAGATAAACTGAAAGTGCTTCGGAATGTAAGTGTTGCAGCCAATTACCATGAGGTGCCGGCGCATTCCAGCAACAAATGCAGTTGTTGTGAATGTAGCCATCGCCCGGGGGAAGAGGAACAGCAAAATAGCCTGCTGCAAGGAATACAGAAGTTGCTCAGAAAGTGCGACAAAATAACGTAGACAGGAACATTCTCAACAGAGGGAACAGCTGGAGGCAAGCTCACCTTGATTGATCTCTTAGTGAGCGAATCCGAAGACCGTGGATGTGCCAGTAAAGCCAAAAGAGGTATGGCGAAAGCAGGTATGAGGTGAGAGAAGCCAAATGTATCTAGCGCAAGCAAACCTCCTTGGCGGTGGTACTGGAAGTCATTAAACCTGGAAAACGCAAAAATGTGCGGCAACGTGAACCAGCTGGCAACGGCACTTGGGAAAAGTGAAACGAGGGAAATGCAACATGTTGACACAAAGTCGAGTAACAAGACTTGGCATGGGTCAAGACACGTACCCAACAAACGCAGCTGTGTACCTCAGCCCATCAAACGTGCACCTGAATGATTGAGAACAAGACAACAAGCACATGGCAGCAAGAGCGAGAACCAGGTATTCAGAAACCCATAAAACTGAAGTGGGACTTTAAGCAAACTGTGTGGCGGAAGCTACACCATTGTGCAAGAATAACGCCCGCAGACACTCACGCATGGCCTGAGGCAAAGAAGAGGAGGATGGAAAGAAGGCTCCACTCCACACAGCACAGTACAAACGATGGGACTGATGAATGGCTGCGGCTCAGGCTTAGAAAAAGCACGCCTGCAGGTGAAAGAGAGTAAACCCGGACAGATGGTGCAGGGGGGAGGGAGGGTGGTGGAAGGGTATTGTAACGAGTTAGACAAGTTAACAAGAAGCTCAGCAAATCAGAATTGGAAAAAATCAGAAAATGGCCACCGTGCAAGCTGAGTCCGAACTGAAGCCATGCTGTTGTGCTGGCAAGTCCTAGGGGGCACCCACTTACCTTGAAGAATGGAGAGCAGTAGAATGACAGGGATGGACCGACCACCAACGAGTACAATGGGCACACCAAACAGGCCAATCAGATGGATCAGCATACGACCAAGCTTCTGCTCTCGTTCCGACTGCTGCTGCTGCTGCAGCTGCGGCGGTGACAAGATCTGACCATCCTGCTGCTGCCGCGGCTCGGATCCTGCAACCCCATTCACGGACCCTCCAGCACCGCCCTTCATCTTCTTTCCCCTCTGCTCTCTGCCTTCCTGCTTGCTCCCTCCAGCAACAGAAGCAGCAGCAGCAGCAGCAGAGGCTGGTACAAGGAGTATTCTGGATAATGAGCAGCAGAGAGACCCAGCAGCCATCAATAGGAGAGACAGGGTGAAGAAGAGGAGAGAGGATGCGAAGACAAGTCGGGGAAGACCCAGGTGCACTGCCTCTTGCAAGGAAGATACTGGGAACATTGCTGGGGGGCCTGCTTTGGGCTGTTTCGGGTTCTCCATTTGTTGTTGATCCTCGTGCTGCTGTTGCTGCTGTTGTTGTTGCTGGTCGGACGAGTGATCGGAAACGAATGGGAGGAATGAGGGTGAGTCGTGGAGCAGCCAGAGGAGAGCTAGCAGCGCATAGCCAACCCACATGCCAAGCTGTGGCACACGGGCAGCAAGCGAAAAGAACACCTGCCCGAGTTTCTCGAGTGCTGGTTGGGACTTTGAGCCTTTAGTGGCGGATGCTTGAGTGAGGGGAGGGGAGCGACGGAGGGAGGAGAGGAGCGAGGATGAGAGAGTTTGGAGGAGAAGTGGAACTAGTACCAGTGGAGCATAGGAGAGGAGTAGAGAAGGAAGGGAGGAGAGAAACTGGGAGGGAGATAGGGCTCCTGAGACTGCTGCTCCGGCAGCAGCAGCAGCACTAGAAGCGGCCACAGTAGAAGAGCTTGCAGCAGCGGCAGCAGGGGCAGTGGAAGGGGCAGCAGCAGCAGCAGCAGCGGCAGTAGCGGCAGTGGCGTCAGCAGTGGCAGCAGCCTGGTTGGAGAGCTTGTGGGAAGCGGAGAGGCCCAAGGAGATGAGCAGAGTGTTGATGAGGAGGAGAGAGGAGGACTGCAGGGACATGGGGGGTATGGCGGCAGGGGAGGATATAAGGGGGAGGGGTGGGTGAGGGAAGAAGGGGGGAAGGAAGGGCGAGGTAAGCAATGAAAGGACTAAGAGAGGTCGAAGGAGAGGAGCAGAGTGTTGATGAGGAGGAGAGAGGAGGAACGCAGGGGCACGGGGGTAGGGCGGCAGGGGAAGAAGCAACAGATACAGTCAGTTCAGGTTAGAGTTGCATCAACATGGAAAGAGCAGAAGAAGAGAGAGGAAGATGAGAGGACAATGAGAGGACGATGAGAGGAAGATGAGAGCAGGAGAACAGAAAGACAATGCAAGGGGGTTCCAGCAGTATGTATTGTGCTGCAGACACCTGTAATATGCCACTCCAACTCCCCGCCACAAGAGATTGCCGCAGGTGAAGCAGTGCTGACGTGGCGAGCAGGAAAGCCGCCACGTGTCCTTCCTCCACTGGGGAAGTCAGTCGACAAAGAAGAAGCAAGAAAACAAAGAGGTAGAGGCAAGGAGACTTGGGCCTTGAGGAAGCAAGGACAGAAGCGTGAAGAGGAGAAGCAAGACGCTGGGAAGAAAAAGCGAGGCAAGAAGTGTGTTGTTTTGATGGGCCATGGCTCATGGGCGGGTCACGGGTCACGGGTCTTGGATCATGGATCATGGATCATGGGTCATGGGTCATGGGTCTTGGGTAACGGGTCTTGGGTCATGGGTGGGGTCTATCCCTACCCTTGAAAGTTGATATTCTCAGGCACAGGGCATCAGGCACAGGGCATCAGGCACAGGGCATCAGGCACAGGGCATCAGGCACAGGGCACAGTGCAAGGGTCGTGGTTTGTGGGACGTTAATGCACGTCCTTCTAACAAGAGATCATGTCATGTGACAAATGATAGTGGTGAGAGGGCAGCGGCATGAGCGGGTACAACGGTGGAGGAGCTGTGGCGGCAGGTGGTGAGTGGAGAGAATGAGTGAATGAGTGAGTGAGTGTGTGAGTGAGTGAGTGAGTGAGTGAGTGATTGAGAGCATACTTATGAAGCTATTGGAGTTGAGGCTCAGGGAGTGCATGAGCACCATCACCACGGCCCATACCACCATCCACAGGCAACCCTGATCAGACGCGCCAGTGCCAGCACCACCAACAGCAGCAGTATCCTCCACACAGGCGCCACCACGAGTACCACAGCCTTGGGAGATAGTGGAAGGAGTGGATCTGTCATCAGAATCGGTCAAGAGGGGTGCACTGCTCAACTGTGCCCCACTCTCCAGTTTCTTTCCTTTCCTCCCCCCCTTCCTGCTCTTCTCTGTCTCCTTCTCCTTATCCTCCTCCTCCGTCTTCCCCTTCACTTCCTTCCCCCTCCCCCCCCCTTGCTCCGAAGCAACTGCCTTCACCTTTCCAATACCATCTCCGCTTCCCTCCTCGCCTCCCACTCGCACCCCAGCAGCAGCAGCAGAACCAAAGCCGGTAGCACGAGGGGCGGTGTACCGGAGAATGAGCAGTAGGTGCAGGAGGAGGGAGAGGAGCAAGAGGAGGAGAGCAGAGAGCATGGAGGAGATCCCGAACTGAGTCCACTGGGAGCGAGCAAGGGCTGCAGCAGCGTCAAGATAAGTGATATGTGCTTGAATGGAGGAGACGAGAGAGGAGGAGAGGGAGGAGAGAGAGGAGGTGGAGGGGGAGGGGAGGAGGGAGGAGGGAAGGGAGTTGGCTGTGGATAGGGCGTGTGTGTAGAGTTGTTCCAGGTGGGAGAAGGGCTGGTGGGGGAAGGGAGAGGGGGCTTCGTTGGAGTAGCGGGAGAGATAGCGATGCACCTGGGGATGGGCGGGGTGAGAGGTTGGAGGGGAGGGTGGGAAAGGAGAGGAGAGAAGGAAATTATGCATGGCATGTTGAGCGACAATACAGAACAGCACTCATAACACAACATGCAAAGCGCAACGTCTATGGAAACAACCTGGTGTGAATGCACCCATCTCCCTCACCTGCACGCCTATCACACCACTCTTCACCACTCTTCACCACTCTTCACCAACCCTCACCTGCCACGCATTCATCATGAGTGCAGAGGAGAGGCGAGAGAGGAAGGGAACTGCTGGGTCTTCGTTGGGGTCAGCAGGTGTTGTTGGGACAGCTGGACCGGCATTCTCAGAGTGCTGCAGCGGTGGTTCGAAAGAAGCCCATGCTGCAGGGGAGAGTGCGAGCATGTGAGGGTTGACCTTGCCCACACTGGAGTGATGGGAAAGTGGGGGGAGAGAGAGTGGGGGGATAGAGTGAGGGGGGGGGGGGGGGGAGGGGGGAGAATGAGAGTTTGACTGAAGGGGAGATGGTAGTGCGGAGAACAGGAGGGGGGGAAGAGGGGGTGGGGGGGGTAAAGACAGTATGGGAAAGTGAGGGAATGAAGGAGGGGGGGGGGAAGGGGGGGGAGGGAGGAGAGGGCTGGGAAGACCGAGGGGGGAAGGAGAATAGAGGAAGGGCGTGCAATGAAGCAGTGGGCTTGGGCAGGCATATGCACCCATTTGATGCAGGTATGAGTGTGTGAGCATGTGTGCGGCCGCGATTACAGGTACACATGTGCATGTGCATGGGGGGACATGGTACCTGGCGAAAGGGATGGGAGCACCGAGAAGAACAGAGAGTGTTGGTGTGAAGTCAATCTGCCAGACAGAGAGGGGACGGGCACAGGGGAATGGGCGCAGGGGAATGGGCACAGGGGAATGGGCGCAGGGGAATGGGCGCAGGGGAATGGGCGCAGGGGCATGGGCGCAGGGGCATGGGCACACAGGGGAATGGCCCCAGGGGAATGGGCGCAGGAGAAGGCCCCAGGAGAATGGGCGCAGGAGAAGGCCCCAGGGGAATGGGCACAGGAGACGGCCCCAGGGGAATGGGCGCAGGAGACGGCCCCAGGGGAATGGGCGCAGGGGCATGGGCGCAGGGGCATGGGCGCAGGGGAATGGGCGCAGGGGAATGGGCGCAGGGGAATGGTCGCAGGGGCATGGGCGCAGGGGAATGGGCGCAGGGGAATGGGCGCAGGGGAATGGGCACAGGGGAATGGGCGCAGGGGCATGGGCGCAGGGGCATGGGCGCAGGGGAATGGGCGCAGGGGAATGGGCGCAGGGGAATGGGCGCAGGGGAATGGGCGCAGGGGAATGGGCGCAGGGGAATGGGCGCAGGGGCATGAGCGCAGGGGAATGGGCACACAGGGGAATGGCCCCAGGAGAATGGGTGCAGGAGACGGCCCCAGGGGAATGGGACTGGCATGCAGGGTGACACAGGGTGGGACACTGGAAGGCATTGATGTTGCTGTGCTTGATGCTTCGGGAACGCTTCCTTCAGAACGAAAGAGGAGAGGGGGGGAGTGGGGGTTTGGAGCTGGGGAAGAGGGGAAGAAGAAAAAGATAGGAAAGCAAAAACTGATCAGTAAAAGCGCATGGAAATCTGTACACTGTCTCCTCCCTTCCCAGCCCATCCCATCCCACTGAGCCACTCCATCCCATCAACTTCCAATCCCATCGCCGCCCCCCATCCCATCCCATCCCATCCCATGCCATGCCATGCCATGCCATGCCATGCCATGCCATGCCATGCCATGCCATGCCATGCCATGCCATGCCATCCCATCCCATCCCATTCCATGCCATGCCATGCCATGCCATGCCATGCCATGCCATGCCATGCCATGCCATGCCATGCCATGCCATCCCATCCCATCCCATCGCCTCCCATCCCATCCCATCCCATCCCATCCCATCCCATCCCATCCCATCCCATCCCATCCCATCCCATCCCATCCCATCCCCTCCCCTCCCATCCCATCCCCTCCCCACCTCGACTCGCCCCCCCCATAACATCCCAAACAGCACACCTGTGGGAATTCCTCAAAGCACTCTTCTTGCTCATTCCCGCCCTTTTGCTGTGCAGCTGCCCCAGCCGCCCGCTGCTGGGGCAGGCGGGAAGGAGGGAAGATGGGTAACAGGGGGCACAGCGGATGGAGGGAGAGAAGTGTTGGATATTTCTGGGGGCAGAGTAATGCTCCCCTTGTGTACGGGAGCAGTGCCAGAGACGGTATTGAGGTGCTAACGACAGAATTTGGATGAGTGAAGTGTGGTGTGATGAGTGAGGAACAGGAGTGAAGATAGGAAGCGCTAAAAACCTCATAGGTGATTTTTGAGTCGACTAAAAAAACTTCACACTACGCGCACCACCAGAATGCGAGGCAAAGATGTGCACCAGACGGACAGAACGGTGTGTGAGGCACCAGCAGCGAGTTTGAGTGCGAATGCTGATTATGCTTACAAAGAGAGTGCCCCCAGAGAGCGAAACTAGTGAAACTTTTGGGGGTGGGCTGTTTGAGATGCTAGCATGGTTTCTATGGCTGATGTTCCTCAGCCAGCCATATGGTCTGGACAGATGTTTGGGAAAGAAAGGCGTACGTGGGAGGAGCAGGAGGAGAGGAAGGCGGGGAGAGGGTGTGGTGCTGGTTGCATGGAGACTGCTAAGAGAAACGCATGCGCCTGATGTGCGGGAGGGGTTCGAGGCATGGAGAGGAGATTTTGAAGGGGGGAAGGAAAAGAATTACGGGGGGAGTGGGGGAGGAAGTTGGGGGGGAGAGAAATCGGGAGAGAACGGGAGAGATGTGAAGGAGGGAGGCAGGGTGAAAAGGCGGGTCGATAGGCTTACTGGAAAAGGAAAGGATACATCCACCCACCGAACCAGCACCCCCACATACATGATACACCTCCTCTGGTGTGCCCCCCCCATGGTCCCCTGTGAGTGTCTGCCCATGGTCGCTCATTAATAGCAGCAGCGAGCGCTTGAGCAAAGAAAGGTGATGCACTGGTGGCTGTTGTACATCCCTTCCCCCCCCTCCTTCTTACCCCCCGCCCCCACGCACACCTCCTCTGGTGTGCCCCCCCCATGATCCCCTGTGAGTGTCTGCCCATGGTCGCTCATGAAGAGCAGCAGCGAGCGCTCGTGCCTGCCACCCCTGTGCGCCTGCGCCTTCATTGCTGTTACCACGTCCTGCCATGGCCCATGGACGATTGCCAGCATTCGTGAAGGGTTAAACAGGCAGGAGGGATCGTGAAGGCATGCCGGAGGGGTCGTGCACGCATGAGCATACACGAATGGGGAGGCGCGGGAGTCGAGGGGGCGAGAGAAGCGCAGGAGATTGGGAAAGAGAAGGATTGAGGGGTGAAAAAAATGCATGCAGGCTAGAGCAGACAGTGGGGACTGTAGGGAAGGAAAGCATGGGTGGATAGACAGAGAGTGGACGAGTGGAATGGATAGTATGGGGCAGCACAACTGTTAAAGGTGCAAATCAATAGAGACAACGGCGCATGGAGGGTTTGGGTGGGTTGGGCTGGGGAGGGGAAGGCAGGGAGAGCAGGCGGGCAGGGAGGGCAGCGGGGCACTGACGAGCATCATGCGGTTCATCTGGTCGAGCTTGGCGTCCATGATGGGCGAGTCCACTGCAAAGGTGTGCCCCACATGGTCCTGGGGGGGGGGAGTGGAGAGAGGGAGGGCGACGGGGGGGAGGACAGGGCAAAAGGGATGGAGGGAGGGAGACAAACGGGGGAGACGGGGGGGTGGGGTGGGGGGCGAGGGGTGAGAGGGATGGGGGGCAACGAGAGGATGGATGGTGGGAGGAGAAGAGACAGGTGGGGAGAGAAAGAAGAGGAAAGGGAGGGAGCCTATGCCATGACAATGCCGTGTCCCATCCAATGCGGGATGCAATCAACCGTTATCCAGCAACCCCCACCCAGCAACCCCCACCCAGCAACCCCACCCAGCACCCACCACCCCCAGGAAGTGGCCGATGAGGAGGTCCCAGTCATCGCGATTGAGAGCAGGGAAGATGTTGGCAAGCACACCATCATCGACCTGCGCAGCAAAGAGAGCATGGGACAATGAGAAGGGAGGAGGACAGCGAGCAGTGGATGGTTCAACTATGAACATCCCTTCCCTCTCCCAGAATGCTTCTGATTACCCTGTTGGGTACTGTAAGTAATGCAGCATGGTGTGGATATAAGGGGTATACACACATCATGTTCCTTTTGTTCACGTTGTGTACATCAAGTATAAATTCACCATGTCGTGTACATCAGTATACATTCAAGTATGAAGACACAGTATTGTGCTTACATCAGACACGCACCTACATCAGTGATCACACCAACCAATCAAGCACTAACCAGGCAAGGGAGGAAAGGGGGTGAATCGGTTGAATCTAGATTTGCTGCACTTCAAAACGGCCATACCAACGAAGCAAGCACTGACTCACCGTGTGAATGTCCTTGACCACGAGCGAGGGGAAGGGCGTGGACTGGTTGAAGGCGGACGGGAAGACGTCCAGCCACGTGTCATCGCCCATCATCTCTAGACGCTTCCCCACACTCAGCAGCTGCAGCAGCCATGCACGCACACAGGCAACACGCGCATAGAGAGGGAAGTAGGGAAGGGGGGGGGGGGGAGACAGGGATACCCAGATGCTATGAAATTGGCGGAGTTCTTGTGGTGCATGCGGGGTGACGGGGCAGGGGGCGCGTGGTCGTGAGGCGATACAGAGAGATGGGGGGCAAGGAGGGACAAGCAGTGCAGTGTGGTGCACAGCGACGACTGAGGGTGGGTCACCTGGAAGATCAGGTTGTCCTCTGTGATGGTGTAGCTGCCAGAAGGTTGTGAGACGCTTTAGATAAAAAAACCTAGGCACCTTAGAGCACCTCTCAGAACACAGCGCTGCAGAGGACGTTACCTCAGATGGGGATTACGGATGGTCCGACCTGGAAGAGCAGGTTGTCCTCTGTGATGGTGTAGCTGCCGAAGCTGCTGCCCACATCAATGAACGTGGGCAGACCACCCGTGGTGAGGCCCTGCATGTGTGCCATGCCATTGCCATGGATGGAGCATATATTGCGGTGATGCCATTGCCACGACGTCATGGTGTTCATGAATGCCATGAATGCCATGAATGAAATGACATGATGACATGGTGTCATGGAGTCATGGTGTCATGGTGTCATGGTGTCATGATGCCATGATCTCATGGGAGGCATGCCACCACAAACAATGTGGTGGACAGACAAGAGTGCATCCATGGCGCTAACAAGTTATGGAAGTCAATGAGATCAGAGATGTTCCAATGCAATAAGAATTCCTCCCTCTGCCTCCCCAGTCCCTCCCTGACCCTCCCCGCCCACATTCCACAACCCACCTCACCTCTGCTGCCATCTCCTTGCCTGCTTCTCACTACCCACCCATCCGCCCACCTTAATTCGCTGCAGCGAGGTGGTGGGGGGGTCAGCAGTGAATCGGAAAAGAGCAGCGCCATGCCCCATGGCTTTCACTATCTCCCCCACCGCCTTCAGCCGCCCTATCCACGACCCAGGCCGCCCTGATGGGGACCAAGGACCAGGACAGGTAAGAAGGATCCGGGGGGGGGGGAGGAGGGGACGAGTAAGAAGGAAAGAGGGGAGTGGGGGGAAGGAGGGAGAGAAGGGGGGGGGGGGGGGGGGGTGGGGGGGCATAGGGAATACGGGGATGAAGGCAGGGAGGGAAATGGGGAGAGATCGGAGTGTGAGAGGGAGAAGGGGTTGAAGAGGTACCATGGGGGGGAGTCTCCTCTCCACTTGCCTTGGTTATAGCTCGTGGTGTTAGCAACGAAGTCGAATCTCGCAGCATCAATCACCACAATCACGACCTTGTCATACAACGCCTTCAGCCCCACATCTTCCCCACGCTCCTCGCTCCCCTGACAACTCCAATCCCCGTCACGCCCGTCGATTCCGCATTCGCGTTTCCCATTCCCCCCTCCTGGATCTTCCGTTTTCCCGTTCTCCCTGCCTTCTCCTCCGTCCGTGTTTCTTGAGATTCCCCCGGTGCCTGATCGCCAGGCCGTGCGATCTGCCGGCGTGCTTCGGACTGAGAGCTCCACGCGTGTGAGGAGGAATCCGCGAGTGAAAAGAGCAATGGCGGCCGCGTGCAGCAGCAGCAGGACGAGGAGCAGCGCCGGGAGGGAGAACGGCGACGTGCGGTTTTGAGAGGCGGGGAGCGACGCCATTCGTGCTAGTGTGGTGGAGGGTGGGGGTGGCTGGAAATGGGGGACAGAGAGGACTGGGCTCACCACCACGCAGAAACGGACTAACTGCCGAGCAGAAGCATGAGTATTATTGCTGGTAAGTCATTATGATGGTGGTGCAGAACGGGTGCCTGCAAGATCGTGTTTGGTGGGAGGGACCTCGTCCGATCAGGAATGTGGTTGACAGCAGGCAGGGAGAAAGTGAAGTCTCCCTCAAAGCGAGCGTACAGACCAAACTCAAGAGTCAAAGGTTTTGAGTCCCCGGACGCACGAAAACTAAGGCGAAAAACACACGGTAACCAAATATCGGCAGGAGGGGGTGCGATTTTGATTTGGGAAGATTCTGATTGGCTATGCGACGGAACAAGCGAAGCCTCTTCCCCCCGCCACACCAAGACCCAAAGCTTTTGCTTTTTACTATGTACTCGGTGGCCATGGCTCCTTCCCGTCCATTCTTGCTCCCTAACACAGCGCTTACCTCCTATTTCGTCATTCACTGGAAAGGTGCGGCTTATTAGTAACGTTTACACATTCCCATAATCCTGTGCGCGACAGCTACCTGCCGCATCTCCGTTACTTCACGCGACCAGCGATTTCGTACCCGATCGGCCACTGTGCTGCATGTCACGCTATCATTTCAGCGCTCGCCACGCGAACACCTGATTAGCGAGCCCTAAGATATTTCCTCGCCAGTGCGCCCAAATATCTCGCCCGTCGCCTCACTTCCCACTCCCCGCTCCTCGCAGCAGCTGCAAGAGCGCTGCCCCGCTTTCCCACTCATCCGCATTCCCCGTTTCCCGCCCCGCCCGCTGCATCTGCCTGCATTCGCCTCCCCGCTTTTCTGCACTCAAGCTGCCCCTGCTCTCCCGCTTCCCGGATCCCGCTTCCTGCTCTCTCGATTCCCACTTCCCCGATTCCACTTTCCTCCCAACCCGCTTTCCCGCATTCCCGCTTTCCCGCTTCCCCGCTTTCCCCCAGCACCCATTCTCACCCCCTTTCCCATCCTCGCCGGCCCTCCCATGACTTTCCGTCGCCGCGTCCATCCCTTCCTATCCCCGCGCCCATCCCTTCCTATCCCCGCGTCCATCCCTTCCTATCCCCGCGCCCATCCCTTCCTATCCCCGCGCCCATCCCTTCCTATCCCCGCGCCCATCCCTTCCTATCCCCGCGCCCATCCCTTCCTATCCCCGCGCCCATCCCTTCCTATCCTCGCGCCCATCCCTTCCTATCCCCGCGCCCATCCCTTCCTATCCCCGCGCCCATCCCTTCCTATCCCCGCGCCCATCCCTTCCTATCCCCGCGCCCATCCCTTCCTATCCCCGCGCCCATCCCTTCCTATCCCCGCGCCCATCCCTTCCTATCCCCGCGCCCATCCCTTCCTATCCCCGCGCCCATCCCTTCCTATCCCCGCGCCCATCCCTTCCTATCCCCGCGCCCATCCCTTCCTATCCCCGCGCCCATCCCTTCCTATCCCCGCGCCCATCCCTTCCTATCCCCGCGCCCATCCCTTCCTATCCCCGCGCCCATCCCTTCCTATCCCCGCGCCCATCCCTTCCTATCCCCGCGCCATCCCTTCCTATCCCGCGCCCATCCCTTCCTATCCCCGCGCCCATCCCTTCCTATCCTCGCGCCCATCCCTTCCTATCCCCGCGCCCATCCCTTCCTATCCCCTCGCCTATCCCTTTGCGTAGCTCATCGGTCCATTCCCTCACTCAAGCTCTTGCCCTGTCCGCCCGCCCCTCCCCCTGTTATCCCTCCCAACCTTCCCACCATATCCCTATATCCCCTAATATCCTCACACTGCCCCTCTCTCTCTCCCGCGTTCTGCCCCTCTCTCTCTCCTCCGCAGCCCAACTCACTCTCCCCCGCTCTGCGCACCTCTCTCCCCTCCCACCGGCTACCTCTCTCACGCCTACTCCACGTCACCATTCCCCCGACTCCCCTCCCTCGTTACCCTTGCTCTGCCCACCTCTATCCCCCCAGCTCTTCCAAAGGTGGGCTCTGGTGGGGGGCCAGGTGGGTTCTGGTGTGGGGGGAGGTGGGCTCTGGTGGGGCGGGAGGTGGACTCTGGTTGGGGGAGGGGTGAGCTCTGGTGGGGGGGAAAGGAGGGCTCTGGTGGGGGGAAAGGAGGGCTCTGGTGGGGGGGAAAGGAGGGCTCTGGTGGGGGGGAAAGGTGGGCTCTGGTGGGGGGGAAAGGAGGGCTCTTGTTGGGGGGAAAGGAGGGCTCTGGTGGGGGGGAAAGGAGGGCTCTGGGAGGGGGGGAAGGAGGGCTATGGGAGGGGGGAAAGGAGGGCTATGGGAGGGGGGGAAGGAGGGCTATGGGAGAAGGGGAAGCAGGGCTATGGGAGGGGGGGAAGGAGGGGCATGGCAGCGGGGGAAAGGAGGTTCTTGGGAGGGGGGGAGAAGTAGGGGTCTGGATGGGAGGGAGGCGGGTTTTCTCTCTCGCGCCCCCCCCCCCTATCTCTCTCTATCGATCTCTCTCTGTCTCTCTCTCTCTCTCTCTCTCTCTCTCTCTCTCTCTCTCTCTCTCTCTCTCTCTCTCTCTCTCTCTCTCTCTCTTTCTCTCTTTCTTTTTCTCTCCGCCTCTCTCTCTCTGGCCCCCTCCACTCACTCCTCCAAATGCCCTTCTCACTCTGGTTTCTTATTTGCGACCGTCCAACTGTCCCCCTCCCCCCCCCCCTCTCTCCCCCCTCTTATTGTCGTACCCACCGCTTCCAACGCCACCCCTCATGATCCCCGCGCCTATCCCTTCCTAAAACCATTCCGTCGTACCTGCTGCTCCCACTCCGTCTTACCCCCTGCTCCCACTCAGTGCTGTGAGGGGGGAAGCACAGTGCTGTGAGGGGGGAAGCACAGTGCTGTGAGGGGGGAAGCACAGTGCTGTGAGGGGGGAAGCACAGTGCTGTGACGGGGGAAGCACAGTGCTGTGAGGGGGGAAGCACAGTGCTGTGAGGGGGGAAGCACAGTGCTGTGAGGGGGGAAGCACAGTGCTGTGAGGGGGGAAGCACAGTGCTGTGACGGGGGAAGCACAGTGCTGTGTGTTAACGTAGAAACGAATGATTACTAGAGGTGGAAACCTAGAACAAATACTAGTTGGTTGTACTCACTAGAAGCATACCTCAGTCTAGCCTATAACTTCTACATAGATAATATGTATAAGTTGACACACCCCCTAGGCTAGACAAGAGGTGAAACTAAACAAGAAGCAAACAGCTCAGGGCGGCACTACTAGTCCAACCACTGAGGCAGGGGTCTGGAGACCAGTCAGCAAGAATACAACCAAAACTGAAGCAAGCCAGGGTGGCACTACTAGTCCAGCCACTGGAGGTAAGGCCACAAGGCCAGTCTGACAAGCATATATAATAGAGAGTACACAATCAGGATCCTAACAGGGGAGCAGCTATAGGAACAAGACCAAGCTGTACACAGTGCCGCTGATGATCTTTAGGCGCAAGCGCCTTAGTAAAGATATCAGCTGTGTTGGCACCTGAGGCCAAGTGAACTACGCGGGCCTGGCGGCGCTGCTGTAGCTCGCGCAGGAGGAAGTACCGCAGCTGGATATGCTTCGCTCTGCCCTCAAGCCGAGGCTCCTGACACAGGAGTATCATGGCCCTGTTGTCAGCGTACAGGACCGGGGCAGAGCTAGGCCGCTCACCTAAGTCTGTGAGCAAGAAGGTCAGCCAGCGGAGCTCCTGTGCCGCCATGGCACCAGCGTAGATCTCAGCCTCACAGCTAGACTGAGCCACAGACGACGAGCGAGTGGATCTCCAAGAGATAGCACCCGAACCAAGGCTGAAACAGTAGCCCTGCGACGACCTGAGCGTCTCAGCGTCGTCTGCCCAAGAAGCGTCTGTGTGTCCAGTAAGGACCACTGGCCTGCGTCCTCCTAGCACTAACCCCATGCCTGATGTACTAGCAAGATAACGCAAAACCCTCTTAGCGGCAGACCAGTGCTGAGGTCGGTGTCTGCCTGTAGCCACAAAGCGAGCCAGGATGCTGAGAGGGTATGCGAGATCTGGGCGAGTGCAAGTCATCAGGTACATGAGGCAACCCACCAGCTCTGCGTAGGGGCCACTGGGCTCTACTGGCTCCTCAGGAACGGGAGCAGAGAGCCCATGGTCTACGGGTAGAGGTGTGGGCTGTGCGGAGGAGAACTGAAGACCGAACCTCTGAAGGACCTGACGCACCAAGTGTGACTGGGTCAGAGTGATGGTGCGTGCTGCTCTGTCCCTAGAGATCTGCAGGCCAAGATAGCGACGCAGCTCTCCAAGGTCAGTGCAGGTGTGTCTCTTCAGCAGCTCAGCCTTCACAGAGGCCAGTGCGTCCCTGTCAGGAGTAGCGAAGACCAGGTCGTCTACGTAGACAAGGATGTAGAACGGAGTCTGGCCGGAACGCACAAACAGTGAAGGGTCAGCAGAGGACGGAAAGAACTGCAGGTCTGCTAACGTGGCACGTAGCGTGTCGTGCCACTCGCGGGGAGCCTGACGCAGGCCGTAGACCGGGCGCCTGAGAAGCCACTGGGTCCCAGGAGGGAAGGTACCAGTGAAGCCCTGTGGTCGGCGCAGGTAGACCTGCTCGTGTAGGCTGCCCTGAAGAAAGGCAGTAGAGAAGTCGAGGGAGTGAAGCTCGTAGTCACGCTGTGCTGCTACGTGTAGCAGCGCCCGAAGAGTGGTCATCTTCGGGGTCGGGGCGAAGGTCTGGAAGAAGTCAACCCCCTCGCGCTGACTGAAACCTCTGGCCACGTAGCGCGCCTTGAAGACAGGCGGCTCTCCAGGGGGGCGCTTCACCTTGAAGAGCCACCGACCATCGACTACGTTCACCCCAGGCGGGGGAACTGCGTCGACGTAAGTGCCGGTGGATCTCCAAGATGCCATCTCCTGCTCCATGGCAGCTATCCACTGAGAGGCCCAAGGTCCCGAGGTGGCCTCAGCGTAGGTGCGAGGGGTCGGGATGTCGAAGGCGTCTGGGTCACCCTCAGGGACTAACAGCATGGAGCAGAGATGGGGAGCAGCCTCGGAAAGGAAAGCCAGCTCGTACTGCCTGTCCTCTAGGACGTCACTGCCAAGGGCAGGAGCACCCCCGACGGACAGAGGACGGGCAGGGTCAGAGACCAGAGCGGTAGCGTAGTCAAGGCGGCGGGTAGAAGCGAAGTCAGCGACAGCAGCGACAAGCGCGTCAAGGCGCGAGACAGGA